CAAATAAAAACAAAGTATAATTAAAGGCAAAACGTTTTTTTTTTAGATTTGGACAGAGAGGTGAAGAACTACTGTCAGGTTTTTATTGCGTCTGTGTTCTCCTTAGGGAGATTTGTGCTCTGTCTAATTGCCCTGATCAACAATGTCACTGGGAAAGAACATGAGGGTAAATCTAAAATTCTGAGCTGCCACCAGAACAGGAATACTCCAATGGAGACACTTGTTACAGTCACTGCAATCATGGGTGATGTTCTCATTTTCTTTTGAGACTACAGGACAAGACGTGAAGGGAATCTCTCTAATGAGACAGAGAACAACTCTTTCTGACACTATCCAAAGCTAATGTCTGGAGTTAGGCTTTAAAGTGGTTGTAAACCTCAGACATGAAATATGAACAAAGCATATCCTTCTATAGTGTGTACTCATCTCAATCCAGAGCACTATGTGTAATTTCTGTCTGCTGCCTCGTTCCTCTGCTATCAGCATAAATCGGTGCTGACAAGTTTTCCTGACAACAAAAAAAAAGGTGACAGAGGATGGCACAGCCTGTGACTTACAGCCTCAGCTCTGTTCCTGTGTGCTTTGTGAAGGGGGGGGGGGTCTCTTCCCTCCAATCAGCTCCTCGAGCTCTTGTACAGAGTGTAACTACAGCTCTCCACCCCTTGCTTTTCAGAGCTGAGAGATCCTGTGTAAATTCTACACTTTGAATGGATGTAGGAGACAGACAGGTGTAGATAATCAGGTAAAACTTATGTAGGAGGGTTTGTTTTATCTCCGTGTATCACCTGAGGCCAGTCACTGCATTGTGTATATGTAAGGTTTTACAACCACTTTAATACAGAATGGCACTAGGGTAACTAGACTGGCAATTCCATCTACTTTTCGTACGTAGAATGATGCAAAAATGACAACTGATCTTACACCATATTACAGGGTACTTATCAAGGCACAAAGTAAATCAAGGGGCTGTAATGCAATGAATGTGAAATTCAACAAAAACTCATTGCAGGTGACTTGATGACATCCAACAGGAATATACCCCTACAGTAAATGGTTGGTGAGCGTCGTATTCACTGCCTTATAAATATTTACCCCAACTGTCAATTTAATGTTAACTTTTATTTGTATTTCTGATATTTATATGGCGCTAGAATATACAAAGTCTTTATAGAGTTCAGTCACTGATTTATTTCAAGAGGAACTTCAGTTTCTTTTTTCTTTTTTAAAGAGTCAGCAGTTACATATACTGTAGCTACTGACTTATAAAGCAGTTACATATACTGTAGCTACTGACTTATAAAGGATCTTTTTTTTTTTACTTACCTAGGTGGATGCAGCATCAATCCGATGGTATATCTGTCCCCTGTTGGCTCTAAGGCTGAGAACTAAGCGATCAGACACCTCTGATTGCTCAGTTCTCCCTGCCGCTCTGAAAGCAGTAACGGTCAGGAACTGCTGCAAGCTTTGCCCTCCCAGTGCTCACTGGAGCGCTGGGCTGTGGAGGTAGTGGGAACGACTGGCTCAGGCTCTCAGCAGCGCAGAGAGGTTGAGCCAAGTGCCAGTCCAGGCTCTTGAGTGGATCCCAACCATATATTCAGAATCTTTCCCCAGCCTGGACAGGCTGAGTGATGGCATCCGACTAATGAATTTTATCCCGCAGGTCGCTGAGTTACAGAATGAACTGCATTCCTGTTATGCAAAAGCTTTGGATGCACTTCTTCTTTAAGAATCAAGTACTTACCAGTGCCTGGGGTTCAGCACTGTACCGACAGCCGCCGGTTCTTCTTACCACTGACGGTCCCTAGTGCCATCACCTTGGCTACGGGAGCTGACTGTGGCTTCCTGAGGAACCACAGCCGGCTCCCCACTGCACATGTGGTGCTTTGTGAATGGGTCTGCAGCCTCCTGGGACATGTCCCTGGAGTCTGTGGGAGGGGCAGGGCATGGCATTGCAGAATTGGGAGCAGTTACTGATAAAATTCAGTACACAACCCCTTCCTCCCCACCCCACCTTAAATAACCCTGTAAGTCAGTTACAGGCTGGGGGAGGAGGACTTCACTTTTTTATGCTCAAGAGGAGCTGAAAATGTCCCAACAGCCATACAGGACAAGAAAGCAAGAATTTGGCCAAGAGGCAATTTACCTACTAGCAGACTATTCAACTATGTAGGAAAATGGGGCATCCATAAATAAAACCACACAAAGACCTAGGAGGACAATACAATTCTATGCAGATAAAGCCGTGGTAGAACTGAAGCCATAACGCCAGTGCAGCAAGAGGGCTAAATGATCATTACAACAATTGTACTTGGTGGTATGCTGGTAACTAGTACTGACATACCAACTGAGCTTAAAATATTCCACTCTGCTTTAAATGTCTGTTTTCAATGGTTGCATTTTCAGTACTGTTTTATGTACTATACATTCTTGAATGTAGCATGAGTCTGAGAGGTATAAAATATGATGACAGTAGACAGAGAGGAGAGAAATCCTCATTTATCAGAGAAAAGTTCTAAGCAGTCAGGTTAAAGTTATGCAATGTGAATACCACCCCCCTTCAGTCTGACAAGTTTTAACATGAGACATTCAAACATGTGGGAAAGAGTTGTGAAGAGTCTGGAGTTCCAATGTGTAAGAAATGAATAGATCCATTTTCCATGGGTCACTTTAGGTACAAGCTGACACAGAATGAAAAATGTCGACACGATAAAGCATGATACAAGCTGCTGGGACACTATAGGGCAGTTTTGTTTTTAGGTTCACATCTAAACGCTTATTAAAAAAAAAAAAAATGAAAAAGAATGAGCTTAATTTAAATAGAATAGAATAGAAGAGTCACTTACAAAGGATTATAAATACAAAAGTTTATTTTTGGCCCACTATTCACCATTATTTACTGAGTTTGAGAATGACTCTGGGCCCAGGGAGTCGGAGTTCCTGAGTCTGGGGAAGTCCTTATGCTGATAAGGCTGCTTGCACATTGATTAATTTTTCTTACAAACTCTTCACACCGATCTGTAGCCGGTCCACTGCGTTCTTTTTAAATCCTGCTTGCTGCAGGTTTGGTGTGGTAAAAAAAAAAAAAAAAAAAAAAAAAAAAAAACACACCTCCCCATTGAATTGATTGGAAAACGTGTCACAAAACGCATCAAAAATGCACCTGTGTTGCAATTTTGATGCGTTTTTTAACTCACAATAATGTATTGTATTATACTTGGACATTATACAAGATTCTTGTGTGATTTTTGTTACATTTCAGTGACCGCTGCTGAAATCCCATGTGTCCTGAAGAAGCTAATAAAGAGAAACGTGTTCGCACATGAGGACTCATTATCTGTGGTAATACTGAAAAATGATTATACAAACAATAGGAATAGTGAGTCAGCAGCAGTATCTACTACAGAATTATGCATATATTTTTTTTTATATATTTCAGAGATACAATCTTTTTTAACAAGTTTGCAAATGAACTTTGATTTTATGTACTATTGTTGAGTTCCCTTTTCATTGCCAGTAAAGTCCATCATTCCATTTTTTATTCTGCATATATACAATATTATGGATGTGTCAATTTGAGCGATATCTCTTGCAAAAAATACATCCACATATGTCAACATCTGTTTTTTTTTTTAAACGAATCAAAGCGGAATGGACTAAAAACTGATGTAAATGGACAAATGGTCCATTTTTTGTATTGGTAGTGAATGTAAAAAACTGATGTAGAAACTGATGGTAAACTGATGAAAAACTGTAAACTTCATGTTTTTTGTCTCTGAAAAAACGTGACTGACTTGATGAAACAAATGGTCCACATGTGTGAAAGGGCCTTAAACAGTATCACATAGCAAAGCCCTGGAGGAATGTAAAGTAGGGGACTGGGGGTCTAATATTATATCAACTTAGGAGCTGGAAGAGAACATGTATTATCAGAATCCATTCTATCAGCTAAACAGTTATTAATGAAACTCTGTGTCTACAACAGGCAGATTAACCCTGTATCAAGATATGGGCACTTGCAATGCCTTTCAAGTATATTAACCACCTAGGTACACTGCAGCCTGTAATACCCCTTCATTATCAGGCCCTTTTTCAGTTTACAGTGCTGTCATAGTTTGACTGACAATTACTTTGTCATACAAATCTGTACCCAAATGAATGATTTTTGAGACAAATAGAACTATTGGAGGTATTTAATAAATACTTTTAATTTTTTTTCTATATGAAGGAAAAAAAAAGGACCAAAAAACAGCTTCTCTTACTTTCTGTTACAAAACATATCACATAAAAATGTCAGGACAGTATGAGAACCCCCAAAATTATCCCTTTTTGGAAAATAAACCAACTTTTTGACACAATTTTTTTGGAAATGAACAACCATGTTGGTATTGCAATGGTAAAAACAAGGAGCTTGGTTATGGTGCACTAGATACAACGTGACATTAATGTACAGATCATACACAGGAGGAAAAAGTGAATGGGTTAATGTACAGGTGAGAAATGGCGGGTAGATGAAGATAATGGGGCTAATGTGCAGGACAAGGAAGGTGAAGAGTTAAGATACAGATCACATAAAACTATTTTGTAAATCGTTGCGCAAACTGTTGGCGCTATATAAATCCAGTATAATAATAATAATAATAATAATAATAATAAAACTGCATGGGGATGAGATGAACAAGAGATGGGGGAAGTGTTCAGAGTAATAAGCACAGGCCTGTACCTTGTGATTGTGGTGATATCCAATCCCAGCAATGACAAGGTACAGAGCTGCTCAGACTGGCTCTGTACATGGTTGCCCATGTTTGTTTTTATGATGCCTTTTATAAACGGAATTTCACAAATATGCATCCACTGTTTTTAAACGTAATACAGTAATGGTTAAGGACACTTTTACACTTTTTCAATTTAATAGATTGTAGACAGTAGGTAACACAGATCCTCTATGGACATGACAAAAATCAAAGCCTGTAAGACAAGCATGTTAGGAACATTCCACATACCCTCAGCCATTGTTCAGCCTGCTCTTCACTTTGGACGGCAAGAACCAGGGCATCTGTCCCTTGATGGGTGATCTTTAGCTCGTGTTTCTTCTTTTTACTGTCCTTTGGCACATAGGACACTGAGCAGCCGTTTAACAACAGCTCCATCTGAGGTTGCTGGTCCTTGGACGACTTGTAGCACTGGGAAAAATAACATTATAGCCATCAATAGAGAAGACCATTAGCAAATTAGATCAAGAACCAGTAATTCTCATGGGAAGAATACGGGATAACTAAAGGGAACTGATTGACTCATCACAGTTAACACAAAATATTACAGCTGTATTCACGAACTACACTTCTCAAATACCCCTCCTCATCCTTTCCTGCAGTAGTGATACTGCAGCCTACAATATGTCTCCTGCAAGGCTTGCAACAAGATGAGCTCTCCACTACAAGTAATATGAGCCACACATTTGCAGCACAGAGGCTTTTTATTATTAACAATATCAGTACCAATAATGTAACAGTATCTAATACCCAAACCAATTTTTTTTTTTAAATTGTAGGTATGTGTGAGCGCACTAAAATCCAAATATAAAATATCAGCAGCTGTGCACAAAGGTAACCAGATAAAACCTTAAACACTAAATATAAACAAGTGCAGCGCTAAAAGTTAATAATAGTAATAAATAATAGGTGCAAAGTCCGTATGTAATAAATAAATAATTAAAACCAAGTATAATTAATAGTTTATATAGGTGACTAATCCGTGCTCTTATAATCCTGATTGCTCTAGTCGGTGCTTGTGCTTTCATAAACAGAAGGAATGCGCACTCACCGGACATGCAGTTATAATGCGCGTTATAAAATATGTCCTGGTGTCATCAAAGGATCATCAGGGCCAGGTCTGGTGTGGAAATCACTCCCTCTCAGGGTGGATGGATCATGGGGCTTTAAATGATGATCCAGGGGTGTCCAGAGTTCCCCTTAAGGGATGGATGGGTGCAGCTCACAGGATAAACAGGAGGCTCCCTCTCTGGAGGCTTGAAACTGGTACTGGGCGTCTAGGGAATTAGTACTCCACACAGGAGTCAAGATAGAAGAGTGCCCATAGTGTAGTAAATTTTAAAATAAATTTATTAAAGCTTTAAAGATGCATCAAAACGAGTGTGATAACACAAGCAGGTAACAGAAATTGGACTGACCATCCACAAGTAAAGATGGCCGCCGGAGCTCCACGATGCTCCGACGGCGTGACGTCACGGCGTAATTGGCTCCTCTTACGTGTTTCATGCACCAGCACATCTTCAGAAGGGACTGCCAATGGCAGTTATTACCTGCTTGTGTTATCACACTCATTTTGATGCATCTTTAAACCTTTAATACATTTATTTTAAAATTTACTACACTATGGGCACTCTTCTATCTTGAATCCTCTGTGGAGTACTAATTCCCTAGATGCCCGATACCAGTTTCAAGCCTCCAGAGAGGGAGCCTCCTGTTTTACCCTGTGAGCTGCACCCATCCATCCCTTAAGGGGAACTCTGAACACCCCTGGATCATCATTTAAAGCCCCATGATCCATCCACCATGAGAGGGAGTGAGTTCCACACCAGACCTGGCCCTGATGATCCTTTGATGACACCAAGATATATTTTTATAACGCACATTATAACTGCGCGTCCGGTGAGCGCGCATTCCTTCTGTTTATGAAAGCACAAGCACCGACTAGAGCAATCAGGATTATAAGAGCACGAATTAGTCACCTATATTAACTATTAATTATACTTGGTTTTAATTATTTATTTATTACATACGTACTTTGCACCTATTATTTATTACTATTATTAACTTTTAGCGCTGCACTTGTTTATATTTAGTGTCAATTTTGTTTTTGTTTCAAATTACAGTACAGAAGGGTTAAAACATTTGTCAATTTTTCTTTCTAAGAAATTACTGTTTTGGAAAAAAAAATGCTTTCCATAAACTTTTTTTATAGTCAAATAATGAATACATATGCATATTTCACATTTACCACTTTCAGTAAGCAGGTGGTGTAACTAAGGTAGTTCTTCATCACTTCTAGGGCTTGTATACACTTGCAGTTGGCAGGCTCTTCAAAGGGCACCGCTTGTGTAAATGAGACCCTTATCAGTCATTTAACACTATGCTGTGAATAGCCCGTAATTTGATCTCGACATGGAGGTCTACTCAGAACACACCCACCAGTGAATAGGTGCATGGGGGCACACCCCTCTATACAGGCTCATTCAGCCTGTATAGATTTTCAGTTAGACAGAGGCTGTCAAAGAGTGAGCAGCCATTTCTAGAAAGCCGAGTACAGTCAGAAGAGTGTCAAAGAAGCATTTCATGAAATATTTGTCTGTGGAAGATTTAATACAAATTAAAACATTTTATAAAACAGTTTATAAACTTTAACGGCTGAACTGAATTCATCCCAGATGCATCAAGTCAAGGTTGTGGAAAGTGTTACAGTTAGTTCCTTAGAAAGCAGCCATAGATTGAGTAGACAAGCCTGTCCCCTGCCAGCATGCCGCAGAGAAGGACCATTACACTCTATGTGGAAGCAGTAGTCTCTCTGAAGAGGTTTGATACTCTCCCTGTTTAGTAAAAGCTAGAGCTCTCTAATCAGCAGGGAGCAAAGGCAAATGCATATCTCTGCAACAAGCTGGCTAGGGAAGAGCTTTTATTCACAAATTTATGAAAACTGGAGTACTCAGAATCTGGGTCAGCTGTGCATGGTCGCCAATCAGCTTCTAATGCAGGCCATACATGGGTCGAATTCCAAATTAATTTTCGTTCAAAAATCGGAAATTTTGTGCGTTTTATAATCTGATGGTGCCACCACTGATTTCGAAATTCGACTGACCAAGCCTTTCATTTCACCTCATGTTGCCACAGAAAATAATTTTCGTGGCCAAGAATTTTCTTTTCTTTCCAGGTCACAGCTCATGATAATTTCTTTTTCGCTTACATTTCTCACACAATTCTCCCATCATTGATTCATTCGTTTTTCAAAAATTTCCAACATGCCCGATCACTCAAATTCGATTGTCGCTCAAAAATTGGCTGTTTCTGTAGCCTGCTAATGGTGAGAAATTCATACGAAAATTCTTTGAAAAGATTTTCAAAAGAAAATTCTTCCAGAATTTGACCCGTGTATGGCTGGCTTAACTTCATTTCATTTCATTTCACTTGTTCATTTAAGCTTTGGCAATAAAACCTGGAAGCTGATTGGTTTCTATGCAGAAATGAGCCTGATTTTGCACTCTCCAGTATCAGTAAATAATTCCCATTGTGACTACTTACTAAAAGAAAAAAAAAAAAAAAAAAACTGTAAAAAAAGGCCCATGAACACTACATGCATGTTACCACAACATACAGTATTGTGTGTTACATGAATTGGTGTCATGTGGTGCTATTGATTCTAAATGGCACCCCGACACACTTTGCCAATGGACATTGATTAATTTTTCTTACAAACTCTTCACACCGATCTGTAGCCGGTCCACTGCGTTCTTTTTAAATCCTGCTTGCTGCAGGTTTGGTGTGGTAAAAAAAACAAACAAAAAAAAAAAACAAAAAACACACCTCCCCATTGAATTGATTGGAAAACGTGTCACAAAACGCATCAAAAATGCACCTGTGTTGCAATTTTGATGCGTTTTTTTAAACTCACAATAATGTATTGTATTATACTTGGACATTATACAAGATTCTTGTGTGATTTTTGTTACATTTCAGTGACCGCTGCTGAAATCCCATGTGTCCTGAAGAAGCTAATAAAGAGAAACGTGTTCGCACATGAGGACTCATTATCTGTGGTAATACTGAAAAATGATTATACAAACAATAGGAATAGTGAGTCAGCAGCAGTATCTTCTACAGAATTATGCATATATTTTTTTTTTATATTTTCAGAGATACAATCTTTTTTAACAAGTTTGCAAATGAACTTTGATTTTATGTACTATTGTTTGAAAAGATTTTCAAAAGAAAATTCTTCCAGAATTTGACCCGTGTATGGCTGGCTTAACTTCATTTCATTTCATTTCACTTGTTCATTTAAGCTTTGGCAATAAAACCTGGAAGCTGATTGGTTTCTATGCAGAAATGAGCCTGATTTTGCACTCTCCAGTATCAGTAAATAATTCCCATTGTGACTACTTTCTAAAAGAAAAAAAAAAAAAAAAACTGTAAAAAGGCCCATGAACACTACATGCATGTTACCACAACATACAGTATTGTGTGTTACATGAATTGGTGTCATGTGGTGCTATTGATTCTAAATGGCACCTCGACACACTTTGCCAATGGACATGTGTCGCAGCATGGCAGCTTTGTGGAGAGATGCCAAAAATTTTATATGAACACTTATTGGTTCAATTATCAGCCCATACAAATGAATTGACTGCCTTAATTTACTGTGTGCTATAATGCGTGCTAACGAGCATGTACTATTGCAGCGCAATAGTGTGAATGGGCCCTGAGATTTTTGTCACAACTTTTGCTTTGATGCACCAGGAATTAATTTAGTTGATTTGAAGAGAAAGTCCAGTTGGGCTTTAAGGCCTCATGAACACTGGACTTTTGTACTACTGTTCGCAGCGTTTGGCGGCAGGAAAAAAACACAATGCCAGTCCAGGAGCAGCCAAGTTTGGGCAGAAAAAATGCTCGGGGCTTGTAAATGCATGTCAATGCATCTAAACGCGCGTTTAGCACTGGAGCGTCAATTCAATGTCCCAGTTAAATTATTTATTCTGCCCAATGATTTGAATTATTGCCCAAGCACTTGATGCCTGTAAACGCGCTTAAGCGCTTGTAAAAGCTTTAGACATTTTTACAAGCATCAGATGCGGTTTTCTGCAAAAACGCTGCTGTCAGGAGGAAAGGCTTCTGGGAGAGTTTTCAAAAGAGCCGGTTTCAATGAAACTTAGAAAATAAAAGTTAAAGCTTATATTGAAGTAAAAGCCCTTTGGTATAACATTTTATGTGATTATTACCATTAATTTGTTGTCTTTGATGACACACAGCAGCTTGGTCCACTGCCCAAATCTCTTCTTCCGCAGGAGGAATGCACAGATCTTCGCATCTTTCACCAAATCCATCGACGCTTCCTCTGACGGCCATTGAAGTCTCTTTTTCTGCCCTTTTCCATCCTCCTCCTCCTCATCGTAAGATTCATACGAACTGCTCATAGCGTCCGAATCGTAATCTTTAATAAGATAAAGAAGAAGTCAATAGGAAATGTGAGAAATGGAAAACAATTCATGCTGCAGAAATGTTTGGGTAGGAGTTTTACTTGAACAATTAACTCTTTACCATTCTACTTTTGCGAGAGCAGCGATTTTGCAGTACAGTACTGGACACTAAAAGAGTTTGCGAAATGTGTGCACCCCATCTATGAAACCAGAAGCTCAATTCACTAAACTCTGTCATTTGTCATAATAGTTATTTTCTGCCATGTGAGATTCATTTTCAACTCCCACTGGTTGACATTGTTGAAAAGCACTTGCATCAATCCCATTTTTGACACATGGAGGAGCAAACACAAAGGTAGTTTTTTTTTCTTTCAATACTTTCACTTTTACCCCTCAGGAACTGCAGCTCCTTGTCACATGATTGTGTGCAACTTCCCTTTCTGTAAACCATATAGGGCTGTTTTCAGACGTGTTGAGCAGAGTCACATTCAGCACTGTTCGGAAGGCAAGGACACCCAGAATTGCAGGAAATAAATTGGAGCCAGAGTGAACAATCACCGGGCACGTATAGCTGAGGACCTTACCCCTTGTGTAAATACCAGCCAAGGTGACTTGGAGCATATGCAGGGCCTTTTCCTTTCATTACAGTGAGCAAAAGTGTGGCAGGGGAGTGAAGATAAGCTGCAACAAGGAATGTATCTATTAAAGCAATACTAGAATACAAACTTGAAAAAACGGGCCCCTCTAAAGCAGGGGTGTGCAACCTGTGGCCCTCGAAGCTCTATGATGTAGCCCTCAACCAGGGAAGCACATGCATTGGGTCAGCAACCCATTGATTGCCATCTAGGCTTGCTGGTCCAACCATTCCAGAGCATCAGAGTGCATCAAGCTGGTGCCTACAGTGAAAGGAAGCAGGCAGCCAAGGACAGAGCAGGCGCTACACAAGTCGATGCTTCCTCGATGGCTCCTGTCCCAGTTGGAGTGATAACAAGTTCACTTCACCGGGGAACTTTCTAGCAGCCTGGAGAGAAAACTCCTGAATGCAGGAGTTCTTGTGCACCTTCAGAAAGTGCATCACACCTGCAAGATATAATAGAAGTCTATGGGAAAGCGCACTAACCCACAGGAAAACCGAAGGTGCTTTTTGCTGCACCCGCTGTCCAGGTAACAACAGCATATCAGTGTAAATGCAGCCTTTAAGGGGGTTCAGGACAGTTTACATTTGCAGTTTGGGGGCAGTAAAACCCCATAGTTTTTCTTTTTAAAGAAATCGTTATATTTTATTTTTGCTAAAACCCAATAAATGAGATCACTTGCACGTTGAAATGATACAAAACAGCCATACAGAGAATAGTTGTACAGATAACATCAATCAAAGAGACAAGGAGGAAAGGTAGCATGAAGTTAACCTTGGATAAATGAAACCTGAGGAACATATTTGACTATGGGCAGGTTATCTAGTATGGATCTAAACTGTGATAATGCAGCTGCATCATGAAGTGTTGAGAGGTCTCTACAGAAGGCTTCAGGCAAATATGTGGAATTTTGAAATGCTATTTCTGTACGCTCATATACCACAATGTACGAGTGTATAAAACCCCATAGTTGAGAGGTGTTTTTACCATACCCTCCAACTACTGGTATAGCATCAGGAGTCACAAAAGCAACCTCACCCCAGGGTACCTGTGCAGCCTCCCTGTCACATTCTGTTTTACACTTGGCAGGAAGCATAGCAGGGGCAGCATATACAGAAACCAATCATCTCCATTTTTCTTTTGCAACTGTTGGAATCCGGCTTCTCCTCCTCTCCCTCTCACCAGCATTCAGCGGCTACAGGGGGAAAATGTTCATTATGCAATTCAAAATAAAAAAATTTAAACCATTTCATTGTGACCTGTGACCAGCTACCAAATCACTTAAGCGGCCCTCGCTCTTCAAAAGGCACCCTGCTCTAAAGCCACCATTCTCAGCTTTCAATTCCGTGGAAACCTAAAGAGTTCCTCCAGAGGCTTTTCAAGTTTCCTTTAACCTCCCATTTCATGGTGCCTGCATAGTTTCAGGGCCAATGTAATTTGGCAGAGCTAGCGGCAATCTAAGGGCATTTTTCAAACTGACCTCCTATGAATTGGTTTTAGCAAGGATTCCCAAGGACCAAAACAATTATTTTAAGTTTCCTACTAAAGGTTGAGAAAGAATGTTCTGAAGAGGACACTTATTATTTTTTTTTCCGCAGATCTTTGTGCTCTTGAAGAGCTAAGCTTTTAAAGAATCTTCAGAGGTTGTTGGTTGCCTGGCCCCCGGCTGATCATTATGGCTGAATCTGCTGGCACCTATGTCACTAATGTGTCCTGTAGTAATGTAAAAAAACGTAATATTTCCTACGCACACGCTCCTGAAAATGGATATTCGGTATTGCCCAACAAAGGTCCCTGCATGGCTCTGAAATACTGCTTTATGTTTACCATGTAACCATGAAAATAAAGCTTTGAACTCATTTTGAGGAATCCTTGGTGTGCTGGTGACATTTCTTCACCTGTAGTAATGTAAGGATAACAGAAGCAACTCAGAACATAAAGGGGGACCAGGCATCTGACCAACCAAAAGTGTTGAATGTTGAAGATTCAACAAATTTAGCTCTTCAACAGAGGAAGAACAGTTTTCAAGTTTTATTATAGGGACATAGCTCTAGGTGAACATCTTGCAAAAGTCCACTTTAAACCTATCCTTTACTTTCCTTTGGCTTCATCTATCTTTTTACTTTTACAAAACAAGGCCTAAATCCTGGGCTAAGCCCTCAGCTGAAAGTCTTGACTCCTTGGTCAAATAAATCATCTTTATGTTGATCTAACAAGCAATATCACAAGATGGAAGACATCCAGCTCTACTACAGATCAAACACACCATCCAGGCTGGTACCCTACTGTGAATAATGTTCTAGGCCTGTGGAGAGAAAGCACTCATATATTTCTCTGTTTGCTTTCTAGAAGAATGACCCAATCATTTGTCTTTACGCCAAAAAAATAAACTGCAAAATCTAAATCATGTTCTGGTTCCTCGCCTATGTGCTATAGATTTTCTCTTTCTTTCAGGGGACAATTTGTTTAACAACAACATTAAGAAAATGACAAAAAAAAATCATCTTTTTTTTTTTAATCAGTATGGTATTCTGGCGGAGAAAAGACCAGGCTTCACTGTGGTAGAACAAGCTGCGCAATCTTTTTTACTAAGCCCCAGGAGAATTAGAAGGAGAGACGCCAAAAACATCACAGGGAGGAGAGAATAGCCACTCCAGTCCTGGATTGCATTAATGCTGTCAAGAACTGAGGTCAAAGGGGCTCTGTAGCTGCCAGCATTAACCTACTTTTTTCGTCTCCAATGTTCCTTCTAAAATACTGCCTCCAAAGATTAAAATTAAAGGAATATTCCAAACAAAAACATACAAAGTTTAAAACTGACTCAGCCTGCCTGAGAGGCTCCAATATTCATCTCAGAGGCCATTTACGTCGCAGTGCACTGCAATGCATTGTTAACTCTTTAAAGTTCTCAATGTTATTGTTATGGCCACTGCAGTGCTATATAGTACAAATCGAAACATGGCCCCCAAAATGAAATATGTTTTACTTTTTCAGGGCACACCAATGCAGTGCTCCGGTGAACTAAAACAACAGGACACAAGTCAAAATTGCCTTGTTCTTGAATTATAACTGCATTGGATCACCTCCAGATCGAAATCTGGCCAGTTTCATACTACATGCATTGTCATCGAAATTCCAGTAATTTTTGGTGTCAAACTATGCCCACCTCTTTGCTGTAGATACACCCCCTGCTATGTGGAAAGAGGACACCACGAAAGCTGTATGGCCATGCGACCACAGGATCAAAGAATAAAAAAGGTACACATTTTTTTCAGTTTAAGCAATCTCGGCATTTGGGTGTCCTGTCTTATTCCGGCCATTAAAACTACTGGGTTCACAAATACGTTAAACTGGCAGGATTTCCAGGAATGAGTGAAGGAATTAAATTACAATTCTCTTTAGATCTGCTCAGCATAGGGCTTTTTCAAATGTAGGTGACACAGTAAGATGCAAATATTATCATTCAATTTGGAAGTGTGATCATGTTGATGTACTGAGCAGACACTTCCAGCACTGGCCTTATCACATAGGATAAGCAGCAAATGACAATCTGGCCACACAATTCCTGGTGCTATTCGTTTTGTGCTTTAACAGCTATCCAGTACACACTCAAACCCAATGCCAACATACAAGCCCCATAGAAAGGGGAGTTCTGAGCCCCCAAAACACATTGGATTTTTGCTTATGTGTGCGGATGAATAAAATTCTTACTTGTCTTATTCAAACTTTGTGGCTCTCTCATCCTTTTAACATTCTTGCAGCATTTTAATGGGCATCAATGGGGCAAATAATTTATATTATATTTATTTCAGGTACTTACATAGCGCCGTCAATTTACGCAGAGCTTTACATATATATTGTACATTCGCAACAGTCCCTAACTCTCAAGGGGTGTACAATCTAAGGTCCCTAACTCACATTCATACATACACATACTAGGGCCAATTTAGACAGGAGCCAATTAACCTACCAGCATGTCTTTGGAGCGTGGGAGGAAACCAGAGTACACGGAGGAAACCCATGCAGTCACAGGAAGGACATGCAAACTCCAGGCAGGAGGTGCCGTGGCTGGGATTTGAACTAACGAACCTAGTACTGCCAGGCAGAAGTGCTAACCATTCAGCCACTGTATTATTATCCACAAGATTAATTTTACCTAAAGTATGTTCTGTCTCCCACAATGCAATAACAAAGGTTGTCACTATCTTGCAATTAGATTCTCCAATTATTTGTTTAAACTTTCATTGGGGGAGTGTGACACCACCTTGCTTTGTAATGGATTTGGCAGTTGCAAGTAAATGGGAATTGTGGGGCAGATATCTTGACACTCTGGGCTTGATTCACTAAAGGCAAATAGACTGTGAAAGGAAAAAACAGCATTTTGTTTGCACATGATTAGATGCTGGAAGTCAACAGAGCTTCTGCTCATTTTCTGGAGCAACTGCTCTTGCACAGTGCAACTACACTTTGCAAAGCGCACCGTCTATTTGCCTTTAGTAAAAAAAAAAACCCTATGTACCTTTAATGGTATATAATAGCTGGTATGTAATTCAACAAGCCAGTAATCATGCTTAAACATATAACCAGTTTGGGGTGTAGCTGGCCTATAAAACAGGTCCTGAGCCCACCAAGACACACAAGTCAGGATGACCCCTATAGTGGAATCACTGAGGCTGAACATGTGATAACTGAAAAGCAATGCAGGCGCATTCACACCAGTTGTATTTGAATCCATTTTTCTGAGTCATACAGCACAGAGAAAAATCTATGTACAGTTTATTGAATCCTTACATGTATAGTATCTCACAGAAGTGAGTACACCCCTCACACATTTTTGTAAATATTTTATTCTATCTTTTCATGTGACAACACTGAAGAAATGACACTTTGCTACAATGTGACGTAATGAGTGTACAGCTTGTATAACAGTGTAAATTTGCTGTCCCCTCAAAATAACGCAACACACAGCCATTAATGTCTAAACCGCTGGCAACAAAAGTGAGTACACCCCTAAGTGAAAATGTCCAAATTGGGCCCAATTAGCCATTTTCCCTCTCCTGTGTCATTTGACTCGTTAGTGTTACAAGGTCTCAGGTGTGAATGGGGAGCAGTGTGTTAAATTTGGTCTTATTGCTCTCACTCTCTCATACTGGTCACTGGAAGTTCAACATGGCACCTCATGGCAAAGAACTCTCTGAGGATCTGAAAAACAGAATTGTTGCTCTACATAAAGATGGCCTAGGCTATAAGAAGATTGCCAAGACCCTGAAACTGAGCTGCAGCATGGTGGCCAAGACCATACAGCGGTTTAATAGGATAGGTTCCACTCAGAACAGACCTCGCCATGGTCAACCAAAGACGTTGAGTGCATGTGCTCAGCGTCCTATCCAGAGGCTGTCTTTGGGATATAGACGTATGAGTGCTGCCAGCATTGCTGCAGAGGTTGAAAGGGTGGGGGGTCAGCCTGTCAGTGCTCAGACCAAATGCCACACACTACATCAAACTGGTCTGCATGGCTGTCATCCCAGAAGGAAGCCTCTTCTAAGATGATGCACAAGAAAGCCCGCAAACAGTTTGCTGAAGACAAGCAGTCTAAGGACATGGATTACTGGAACCATGTCCTGTGGTCTGATGAGACCAAGATAAACTTATTTGGTTCAGATGGTGTCAAGAATGTGTGACGGCAACCAGGTGAGGAGTACAAAGACAAGTGTGTCTTGCCTACAGTCAACTATGGTGGTAGGAGTATCATGGTCTGGGGCTGCATGAGTACTGCCGGCTCCAAGGAGCAGGGCCCTCCTTTCCCTCTTGTATTGAACCGTATTGTTGCTGTATTGTCTCCCGTTATATTGTAAAGCACTGAGCAAACTGTTGGCGCTATATAAATCCTGTATAATAATAATAATAATAATAATAATAACTGGGGAGCTACAGTTCATTGAGGGAACCATGAATGCCAACATGTCCTGTGACATACTGAAGCAGAGCATGATCCCCTCCCTTCGGAGACTGGAACGCAGGGCAGTATTCCAACATGATAACAACCCCAAACACACCTCCAAGATGACCACTGCCTTGCTAAAGAAGCTGAGGGTAAAGGTGATGGACTGGCCAAGCATGTCTCCAGACCTAAACCCTATTGAGCATCTGTGGGGCATCCTCAAAAGGAAGGTGGAGGAGCACAAGGTCTCTAACATCCACCAGCTCAGTGATGTCGTCATGGAGGAGTGGAAGAGGACTGCAGTGGCAACCTGTGAAGCTCTGGTGAACTCCATGACCAAGAGGGTAAAGTTAGTGCTGGAAAATAATGGTGGTCACACAAATACTGACACTTTGGGCCCAATTTGGACATTTTCACTTAGGGGTGTACTCACTTTTGTTGCCAGCGGTTTGGACATTGGTGGCTGTGTGTTTGAGTTATTTTTAGAGGACAGCAAATTTACACTGTTATACAAGCTGTACACTCACTACTTTACAATGTAGCAAAATGTCATTTCTTCAGTGTTGTCACATGAAAAGATAGAATAAAATATTTACAAAAATGTGAGGAGTGTACTCACTTCTGTGAGATAATGTACATGTTAGGATTCAATAAACTGGCCATATTACACCCATACAAAACCAGACAAAAATCCTCCCTGCTCCATTTTTGAAGTTGCAGTTGGCATTTTTCCATTTCACTTAACTGAAAAGGGTATTTAACAGCCTATATAGCTACACATCAACTGATTACTCTGGCGTGAACATCATTTATGACACTATGGTCATTGAAACCAAAGATCAAAGTATCCACTTCTGAGGGCTCCAAATGCCATTGGGAAGTAGATGTGGTCTGTGGAGGGACAACTGTGAGCTAGACAGAGATACAGATCTACACCCTAGACAAGGAAGGAATTACACCCCCCCCCCCTTCTGAACAGAAACAGGTAGTGCTAAAGCAGGAAAATTGCTGGTGGAGACACATCAGATAAAAGTATGAGAAACACAGTGCAACAGGAATACATAATGGAAAAACTATATCAGCCAATCAGATGCTATCTTGTTCTGCCTTGAGTGCACTAAACTGTTGAAACTGACTGGCGTGTTTCTGGTTAATGCAGAACATTGATCTTCCCAACAAGTTAAAGTGTTACTAAACCCACAACAGTAAAATCAGTCTGTATATACAGTAAAGCGTGCTTGTTATACTTACTGTGGAACCTAAGGGGTTAATTCTCCATACTGTAAAAATGCTGCTTGATCCTGACCTCTCTGATCCCTCCCTTCTTCCAGTGCCTCCCTTTTCTCTCCTGATAAGATATATTGTGTGGAGACACTCTGCACATGCTCAGTTTAATGTGTATTGCAAAAGAGGTTTTTCTTTCTTGGGAGAGTGCATGTGATCAGCACAGGGCCAATCAGCAATGTCCAGACAGAGGTCAGGGGTTCTGCATCCTCCTAGAGAAAAATCTTCCTACAAGCTTTACCCAGTGCTCTGCTAGATACTGATAAAAGTCACAAGCCTGCTCTACTTGCTGATGAGAAAAGGTATTTAGCAGTTTGTTTTTACTAAAATAATTGCATTTCCATATTCTGTGTATTGTGGGAGACCAGATATAGCGAATGCAGGGTCGGGGGTTTAGTAACACTTTATTGTATATTTTAGTTTGAATCCATTTTAATTGGAACTGACAACTCACTGGCTGTGATGTACTCCGGAGCTTTTCCGGGACTGAGTGGTACAGCTTCTTCATAATACCCCTCTGGAAGTGATGATGTTGGTAACGGCGGAGGCCCATTGTCTGGAGGCTAAAAAAAAAATTATAGTTAAAAAAATGACATGCAACTTATTTTTTTTTGTTTTTATTCAACTGGAACTCCGCTTTAACAATAACTTCACCATCCACAACTTTGCCCAGCTACGTAGTCTCAAAATACCAACCAAATTGTTCTCTTCATTCCTTCCAAGACCTCCTGCTCTCTAGCTCCCTTGTCACCTCCTCCCATTTTCTTGCTGTTTCCGAACTTCTGCCATCCTATGGAACTGCCTACCCCAGCAATGGGCAAACTACGGCCCGCGGGCCGTATACGGCCCGGCGGACCTTTTAATCCGGCCCGCGGAGCTAGGCTCCCGCAAGGCCAGTTCGGCAAGCTCTTTACAATAGATGCGGCTCTCCTGTGTGCCGGGCGCCCGCTCCCCTCCCTCCTCTCGGGCGGGCGGGCGACCTCCTCTCCTCCTCCTCTCCCCTCCCCTCCTCTCGGATGGCCGCCCCCCCCCCCCTCTAGGATGGCCGCCCCCTCCCTCCTCTCGGGCGTCAGGACTCTGCAGCTGTCAGGATGTAGGCGGGGCAGCCAGATGTAGGCGGGGCAGCGTGACGAACTCTTCTCTCACAGTCCTCCCTGAAGACCAGAACGGCGCGGGGAATACGAGAGGAACGCGCGGTGGAGCAAAGGTAAGTGAATTGACACAGGGGGGGCTTACTATATGGGGGAATGAATTACTATATGGAGGACTTACTATATGGGGGATGAATTACTATATGGAGGATGAATTACTATATGGGGGACTTACTATATGGGGAATGAATTACTATATGGGGGACTTACTATATGGGGGATGAATTACTATATGGGGGACTTACTATATGGGGAATGAATTACTATATGGGGGACTTACTATATGGGGAATGAATTACTATATGGGGGACTTACTATATGGGGGATGAATTACTATATGGGGGACTTACTATATGGGGAATGAATTACTATATGGGGGACTTACTATATGGGGAATGAATTACTATATTGGGGATGAATTACTATATGGGGGACTTACTATATGGGGAATGAATTACTATATGGGGGACTTACTATATGGGGAATGAATTACTATATGGGGGACTTACTATATGGGGAATGAATTACTATATGGGGGACTTACTATATGGGGAATGAATTACTATATGGGGGGGACTTACTATATGGGGGATGAATTACTATATGGGGGACTTACTATATGGGGAATGAATTACTATATGGGGGACTTACTATATGGGGGATGAATTACTATATGGGGGACTTACTATATGGGGAATGAATTACTATATGGGGGACTTACTATATGGGGAATGAATTACTATATGGGGGACTTACTATATGGGGGATGAATTACTATATGGGGGACTTACTATATGGGGAATGAATTACTATATGGGGGACTTACTATATGGGGAATGAATTACTATATGGGGGATGAATTACTATATGGGGGACTTACTATATGGGGAATGAATTACTATATGGGGGACTTACTATATGGGGAATGAATTACTATATGGGGGACTTACTATATGGGGAATGAATTACTATATGGGGGACTTACTATATGGGGAATGAATTACTATATGGGGGACTTACTATATGGGGGACTTACTATATGGGGGATGAATTACTATATGAATTAATATGGGGGATTTAATATGGGGGATGAATTAATATGGGGGATGAATTACTATGTGGGGGATGAATTACTATGTGGGGGATGAATTACTATGGGGGATGAATTACTATATGGGGGATGAATTACTATGTGGGGGATGAATTACTATGGGGGATGAATTACTATATGGGGGATGAATTACTATATGGGGGATGAATTACTATATGGGGGATGAATTGCTATAAGGGGGATGAATTGCTATATGGGGACGAATTACTATATGGGGGACGAATTACTATATGGGGGATGAATTACTATATGGGGGATGAATTACTATGGGAGATGAATTACTATATGGGGGATTAATTACTATGCTTACTATGGGGGAATATTACTATACTTACTATGGATGACACTACACATCATTCATCTACTCTTGCTCCGGCCCCCGGGTCCAATATATGAACCCATTGCGGCCCTCAAGTCAAAAAGTTTGCCCACACTGGCCTACCCCAATCTGTCCAACTACTCTGTTCACTTTTAGCCCATAGTTGATTATCTCCCCCATGCTCCTTACAACAGGGTTTCTCATCCGAGGTTCTGTGGAACATTGATGTTGCTTCCAAGGTTGCTAAAGGTGCCTTAAACACTAAAGAGCTTCTAGCTCCCATTAACCATCAATATCAATTATATTTTTTTTTCTCACTGGCCAAAATTGTAAGAGTGTCCTAATCCCGCTGACCATTTATATAAGAGGTCCTTCTACCATTGACCACTACACGGACTACAACACGGTTTCTCAATCAGGGTTCTGTGGACCCTGGAGCTCCTTTGGAGGCTGCCATGAGTTCATTGAGCATTGAAGAGTTTCAAGCTGAGAGTAACCACCGATATCAATTTTTTTTTTTTCCCACTGGTCAACAATGTGAGAGTGTCCTACTCCTGACCATTAATATAATGGGTCCTTCTCCTTTTGGCCACCAATGTAATGGGACACCACAGCCAATACCAGTATAAGAAGCCACTTTTCCACTGACCACCTACATAAGGGGCACTACAATTTTCACCATTGGGGTTTTATTTGTGGCTATAACATATGGCTATCCCCTCCTTTAATGGTTGAACTAGATAGATGTGTGTCTATTTTTTAAACGACCTAACTATGTTACTATGTATAATTATTTTGTTTCATTTCATGATCATTACTACATATAGAGCAGGGGTGGGTGAAATATGCAAGATACAGCACATTCATTAATGAGTTATTATATTTACAAATTACTGACCACGCAAATGTGCCATGAGCAGACGCGGACTGACCATACGGGCACTCGAGCACTGCCAGAGGGCCTGGGCCAGTAGGGGGCCCCATGAGGGGCTCTGTCACTGCCCCTCTACTTGTTTCTGAGCATTAGTCGTATAGCTGTCTGTGTACAGGGTGCTCTCCTCAGCAGCTTCCTTTAAGTCCCCATAGATCAGTGACGTGAAGGTCCCCACACACACACAGATCCCCTAACCTGAGGACAGAACAGAGACAGCCGAGAGCAGACAGCACAGAGAGCCCATGTCCAGCCGCAGAACAGGGAACACCCCCTCCGGGAAAGCTGTGCATGGCAAGCACCGCCCCCCTCCTTTACAGCACAGCCTCCAGGATCACTCACTGCTCTGGCTCTGCAGCCCTGCTGTGAAAGGGGTGATGAAGGTGGCAGATTTACCACAGCAGCTCTAGATCCTGCCTGAGACTAGGTGAGAGCGACCTGGGGTCATGTGAGTAGCAGACATACTGGACATCCCCCTCACCCCCCCCCCCACCTCTGTCCCTTTCTCTCACCCTGCCACACCCCTCTTCTCTCTCTCTTTCCCTCTCCTCGCTCTCACCCCCCTCACTATCTTTCACCCCCCCTCTCTCTCTCATCCTCCCCCTCTCTCTCACCCCCTTCTCTTTCTTGCTTCCCCTTCTTTCTTGCCCGTCTTTTTCTCTCATTCTCACCCACACCATTCCTCTCTCACTCCCCTCTCTCTTTCTCACCCCCTCTCTCTCTTGCCCCCATCTCTCTCACCTTTCTCATTCTCCTCTCTTTCACTCTCTCAGCCCTCTCTCCCCCCCCCCACCTCCTCTCTCTCTTCCTCCCTCTCTCTTACCCAACCCCTCTCACCTCCCCTCTCTCTCACCCCCACCATTCCTCTCTCTTGCCTCACTCTCTCTGACTCCCCCTCTCTTGCCCCCACCATTTCTCTCTCTTACACCCTCCTTACCCTCTCTCTTACCCCTCTCTCTCTTTCTCTCTCGTGCCCCCTCTCTCCTCCTCTCTCTCACTTACCCCCATCTCTCCTACTCCCCTCTCACCCCCCTCCCTCTCTTACCTCCCTCTCTCTCACCCCCCCCCCCTTTCCCCCCTCTGTCTCATCCTCCTCTTTTTCTCCTCTCTTTCCCTCTTTCTCTCTTCCCCCTTCTCTCTCACCTCCCCTCTCTCTCTCACCTTCCCTCTCTTTCTCAACCCCCTCTCTCTATCATCCCCCTTCTCTCTCTCATCCCCCTCTCACATCTGTCACCCCTCCTCTCTCTTACCCCCCATCTCTCTTCTTTACCCCTCTCCCTCACTCCCTCTTTCTCTTTCACCCCCTCTGCATCTTACCCCCTTACCCCCTCTCTCTTAGTCACCACCTCTTTCTCTTTTAACCCCTCTCTATCATACCCCCTCAACCCCATGCTCTCACACACCCCTCTCTCACCTCCCACTTTATCTCTCCCCCCTTCCCCCCCCTTCTTCCGACCCTCCCCTTTCTCCATCTCTCTCCTACTTTTCCATCTCCCCCATCCCTCTCTCTCTCCCTCCTATTCCTATCTCTCTTCCCCCTCTCCTCTTCTGTCTCTATCCCTCCACCCCACTCTTCACCTCTTTAATATGTAACAGGAAATTCTGTCATAATTCAGAATCTCAGTAAGAATTGCACTCTGTCAGTAAACTTTCCATGTAAAAAAAAAAAAAAAAAAAAAAAAAAGTTGTGGAGAAGTTGGCAACCCTATCAGAAAGGAGCTGAGTGGGAGCTGAATGCCCAAACAAAGCAATTAAAATGATTGTAAAAGCAGCTGCGTGCACCACACTATTTTAATCTAGTATTAGGGCCCAAGTTTTGATCTTGTACACAGGCCCACTGGTTTCATAAAACGCCCCTGGTTGCATCAGAAAGATAGATGCTGCATGTTGGCCATCTTTAAACCTGAAAGTGCCCATTGGCTTCTACGGAAGGGAGCCAGGACCTTCCATGCAGGCTATGCTGCAGTGGATATTTAAATGCCCCATCTATGCAGCGGAGTTATAATAACCAAATGATCAGGCTCACAGAGATTCCTGGAGGCATGGTTGGG